CTTTTTTTTCTTCCTCCCCCCTTCTCTCCTCCCCTCCACCCCATGGCTGCCATTAGACACAAATTGGTAAATATATGTAAAATTATTCTTTACATACTTCTATTTATCACTTCTTTCTCTGGATGCAGATAGCACCTTTCTTCATATGTCTTTCAGAGTTAATTTGCTATATACATGTTATAGTTATAATAGACAAAATGATTTATTCTCTCAAAGTCATCCTTAAAACAATATTGATGTTACTGTATACAATGTTCTCTTAGTTCTGCTCATTTTGCTCTTCATTATTTCATGCAAGTCTTTCCATGTTTTTCTAAGATCATTGAGCTCATCATTTCTTATACCACAGTAGCATTCCAACACAACCATCCACAGCTTGTTCAGTCATTCCCCAATTAATGAGCATCCTTGAAATTTCTAGTTCTTTGCCACCACTAGAGAGGTGCTATAAATATTTTAGAGAACACACACACACACACACACACAGAAGTGGAAAGTGATAAATGTTGGAGAGGATGTGAAACAATTGGGATGCTAATTCATCATTCATGGAATTGTAAGCTGATCCAACTATTTTGGAGAACAATCTGGAATGATGGCCAGAGAGGTTACTTCTAGTCCACAGGAGAGCTGGGACTAAAACCTAGGTCTCTTCATTATTAAACAGTGCTCTTCCCACTGTGCACCACTGCCCGCATGGAAGTTTGCTGTCCCTCTGTCACAATGCCACCCTGAAAATTAATTATTGTAAGCAAATAGATTTCTTCTTAGGAGGATTCAATTTAGTGCTATTTCGTGATTACATTAAAAAATAGCCTTTCAGTCTGCAAAACAGCTTATTGGAGAACCATTTCATCTCATTTTTATGCATTCTAATTTGCAAGATGATTACCCAGCTTGTAACATGCTTCACGTCAGCCTTTGGAATGCCCTTTCTTGCAAACTATTTTCAAGCTGGCTCTATAAAATGAGGACGATGATACCTCTAGGAGTTGTCTGGGAAGATCGAATGAGATAATATATGTAAAGCTTTTTGTAGATTGTAAAGTGCTATGTGACCGCTAGCTATCATTATCAGGCAAAATGAGAAAAGGGAGGTGAATTTTGGTGGATGTAAAGACTCAGAGATCAGAAGGGACTTCAGAGGCAACCTAATTCAAAGCCCTTCCTTTACAAATAGGGAATTGGTAAACTAAGAGAAGTGATGCCCCATCTTCTCTGAGGGAAATAAAGATGGAGAAGGTGCCTTTGAAGTTAGCTTAAAAAAGTATGTCCAAGGGCCAGAAGAAAGCAGGCATTTCACCCTGAGATGCTTTCATTTTCAAAGCTATTCTGAGCAGAAAACAAAAATCCATGTGAGCAGATCGCTCACTAGGTGGTACTGTGTCCACATTGCACAATTACCTAGCCATGGTAGCTAAACACACCCTTGGTAAGCACCTACTGTGTATAAAGCACAGTGTTAGATGCTGGGGGAGACACAAAGGTTAACTAAGAAATGGCTCCTGATTTTGATGTATTGATTTGTTTTGCTGATTTTTTTTCTTTTCTCTTTCTCTTCCTCTTTTTTTAATTAATTTATTTTTAGTTTTCAGCAATCACTTTCATAAGCTTTTGAGTTTTAAATTTTTCTCCCCCTCCCTCTCCACCTCCCTCCCCAAGACTGCGCACAAGCTGATATAGTCTCTTTCTCTTTTTTTAAAAAATTCTTTGCTATAAGGGGTAGCACTCGGGGGGGGGGCAGATAGAAGAGGAAATCTAGGTGACATAAAAACAAATTATATCAATAAAAATCTATTTTTAAAAATTAAAAAAATGACTCCTGACTTCATGGAGTTTATAAACCAACAGTAGAATATAAAAAATTTAAAAATAACTATAAGCTAATAAATAGGTGCGTAAGAGATGTATAAGCAAAGTGTTACATGAGTACTGAGGAAAGAGAGGGGTATGAACTTGTGGACAACTTAGACTCGAGCCAGGGTACTACTATCTTATGTTTGTAGATCCTTACCTTATGTCTCCCAAATCATAATTACTAGAAGATTAGTTCTATGTCATTTAGCGCACATGGACTCCGGAAGCCATGTTTTACAGCCTGTCCCTAAACAGGAGATCCCTCTTTGAGCATCTCTGACAAATGGCCACTCAGCCTTTGTCTAGAAATTTCCAAAGACTTTTCTCAGATATCAAGTTGCATGCTACATCAAGTGCTTAACAAATGCTTGTTGTGGAGTCGCAACAACAACAACAAAGTGATAGACAGCCTGAGTGCCGTGATGTTAGATATGTTAGAAGACCTAGAGCTATGCTTTCCGCCTGTTGGAGGTATGCTCTAGTGAGGATGCATGGGGGGTATGAACTCATAAGGGCCAAGAAAGCGTGCATGGGTTCCTTGCGGCCCCCACAGAAAGAGACCCCAAGTGGATGAGGTCAAGAATTCACTGAAATCAAGTAATATCAAGGAATAAGCCCTATGAGAACAAGGGATGAGTCTAATCTAAACTTTTGTATCTTTATAAATGCTTTGCACACAGTAGATATTAATTTCCCAGAAAAACAAATGCAAGTTTAAGCAGTTTTAAGAGACCTATTTTCAGAAAGAAGAATGGAAAACCTTAACTGTCCCTTGGAAATGCTAATATATACTTGTAGTCATTGCACATCTTCAAAGACAAAGTCACATTATTGTCATTTTAATACTTATTCATAGAACACAAAAATGTAGCAGGCCCTACGGATGATGTATAGAGGTTAGTCCTTTAGCTCCATTCATTCTCCTGGTTGTGAATTCTTATACTTCCTTTAAAACCTAAATCGAATGCTATCGTCTTCCAGGAAGCTTGGTCTGAAGCTCCCTTCTCTGTTAATAAAACATCTCTTTGTTTACACCTCTGGTTTGCACTTATCTGGGCAGGTAAGGGGAGCAGTGGATGGAGTTTCCTGTCTGGATTCAGGAAGAATCATTTTCCTGAATTCAAATCTGGCCTCAGGTACCTACTAGCCAAGTGACCCTGAGCAAGTCACTTAGCCCTGTTTGTCCCAGTTTCTTCATCTATAAAAATGAGCTAGAGAAGGAAATGGCAAACCACTCCTGTATCTTTGCTAAGAGAACCCCAAGTGGGGTCAGGAAGAGTCAGATCCGACTGAAAAATGACTGAAAGTAAGCCTGTACAAAAAGGAAATGTAGTTAATCAGACGTCACTTGTTCTGAATGTCACAATAATGGCAAAGCCCAATGAGGATCAGGAGTATGAGAGCTGGAAAGGGCATGAGGGTTTTGACCTAGAGTGGCTGCTGGTTTTGGAAAAAGTGCTAGGGTTTCCCCAGACACAGGAGGTTTTTATGCCGAATCTTTTCCAGAGTAAAGTCCATCCATGGCCAGCCACGTAGACTCCAGCAGTCACTACTACGCTGGGACAATATGACCTGAAGTCACTGCTATGCGGAAAAGGGATGATCCAGAGTGCTAACATCCACTGGACATGAAACAAAAGATGGCTATTGGTGAGACTAGCTTGAGGTGACATTTCCTCCTGTCACTCAACTGGCAGTAAAGACTTTTTCTCCTTATTTGCCTTCATTTACTTCCTGCTTTTACTCACTCCAGCAAAGAACTATTATCTCTTTAAATATCATTTTGGGTTTCTTGTCATACATTTGAAATTGTATTAAAACCAGATCATTATTGAATATGTGCCATAACTACTTGCTATTGAATAAAGCCAGATAGTTATTGAATACATGCCATTTTCTATTTGCTCCAAGCTGGGAGATTGGAAAGGGAGACGACAACCTGGAAGGAAGAAAATCTAAATTATTGAGGTTTTATAAAACCAATTTGAATTCTGCCAGTGCAAACTGTCACACTTAATAAAGATTTATTTGTTTTAAAGATTGAAGAGAGAGAGAGAGAAAGAAACAGAAAGAGGTGGGGACAGAGATAGAGAGTCAGAGACAAAGAGAGACAGAGAGACACAGAGAGAGCAGGCATAACTCCCAAAAAGGCATCCATGGTAAACACAAGCCCCAGAGGCAAGTGGGTGAGCTGAGGTGGGCCAAGATTTTCTTCTTTCCCCAGGAAGACAGCACACGCTAGAGAGAAGCCACACCCCCCAAAAGAGAGGAAAGCCATGCCCCTAAAAGAGAGGAAAGTCATGGCCCCAAAAAGAGAGGAAAACCATGTCCCCAAAAGAGAGGAAAACCATGTCCCCAAAAGAGAGGAAAGCCATGCCCCCCAAAAAGAGAGGAAAGTCATACCCCAGGATGAAAAGGAATAAGAGGCTAGTCAGGCAATCAGCATTGTCTACTAGGTGTGGGGGGGATCTTAGCCTACACAAAATGGGGTGAGAGGGGAGTGAATTTCCACCCCATCCCCCAACTTCCTCCAGCAGGAAAGGAGAAGTGAGTTCCTCAGGCATGAATAGACTGAGCCCCAAGTTCAGGGGTGATTGACCATTCAGCTTGCCTTGCTCACCAGAGCCACCTGGTGATTGCATTAATGAAGCTATTGTTCTCCATTATCAATGATCTCAAATCATCCCTTTTATCACATGCTCTAGAATTTTGTCTAGGAAGCACTCTCACTAGCTTATAGTTTGAAAATACTACCTCTTCCCTATTTTTCAAAAAACTTGGGGCCTTTGCCTTTGTATCGTCCTACAGCACCTTTCCCAAGCTCCATGATTTTTCATAGATTACAGACATAACTTATCAATCATATCTTTTAGTTCTTTCAGGACACTGGACATAGTTTTGCAGGCTTCTTGCCTTGAACGCACTGAGGACAGCTAGTTAGTTTCTTATCATCTTGCTTTCTTTGGGTTCATACTCCTTATTAACCCTTTTAATTCTGTTCTTCCTAATCTGGCTAGACTCCTAAGCCCAGTTTGATTTCTACCCTAACTTGGTGCCTCTGCAAGTTGTTTCCTGTGGAGCCAAATATGTATAGCTCATCAGGATTCAGGTTACCTTATTTCATTATCAAGTTCCTATTAACAATACATTTATAAATATTCATGAAGTTATTGAATCACCCTCGCACAGGACCCATGCTAATCTTCTCTATGTTGTTCCTATTTTAGTACAAGTGCTAAAGTCGTGTTGCAAATCTGAGAGCTAGTGTAAGTCTATAATAATAATAATTATAGGAACTGATTCAAAATTACAATAAGAGCTATTTCCTAATTGATAAATGGTCTAAAGATATGAACAAGTAATTCTCAAGAGAAGAAACCCAGACTATGGACATAAGAAAAAATGCTTCAAACAACTACTAATTAGAGAGATATATTAAAGTAGTTCTGTAATTCCTCTTCACATCTATCACATTGGAAAAGATAATAAAAAAAGTTGATGATAAATATTGGACAGTCTGTGAGAAAATAGACACATTAATTCATTGTCTGTGGACTTGTGAATGGATGCTGTTGTGTTGTTTGTCTTTTGTTTTCAAAGAGGACCAATGACATCATGGGATGATGTCTTGACTTGCTCCTGAATTGGATTTAAGTGAGGCAGAGTTGAACAGAGTCCTCAGCCTCACTCTCTCTTCTGGTCATCAAAGTCCACTGGCAAGACAAATGCCAAGGTGACTGACTATGGCCCAGGATGCAGTTGATGACTTTGGTGTCTTCAATGCCTAACCAAGCCCTAAGTGCTTTGCAGACCTTGCTTCATCTGCCTTCAAGGCCATTGGAACAAATTGTTCTCATCTGCCCATTGCCATGGAAAGTCTTCACATGGTTAGAGTAGACATGCCTCTAACTCAACAACATGTTTGAGGCCTATCAGTTACCCTCAACCTGGTTTAGCCCATCTGCCAAAACTGTTTTACCAGGAGGGGCTGCCGGGCACACTGCAGCTTCTTAGAGTCACAGGTGAGAGTTGGATGACAGGTAGACATCAAAGGTGAATGAGCAACTCTGAAAAGGACTCAGCAAGCCCTCACACCAGAGGTGCTAGTCCTCCCTGAACCTTTCTGGAAAGCAATTTGGAATTATACACAAAAAGTTATAGTAATTATATAGAGACATTTGTCTAACGTCTTAAGCTTTGTAAAATGATTTATACACAGTATCTCATTTGAGCTTCTGTGGTAAGTACAACATATTTTATTATATTCTTTTATGATTAAAGAAACTAAAGCCCAAAAGATAAAATTATTTGCTAAATATCATACAGCTCAGAATTAGGGTTAGATATTAATTATTCATTAGGGTTGCAGCAATTAAATGTTGAGGTGGAATTTGAATCCAAGTCTTATGCCAAGCTGCCTCCAGAATTCTAAAAAAATATTTTTTCCAGTGGTCTACGGATTAACCTGCACTTTGGGTTTTTTAACGTGATTAGAGAATGCCTCTGAAAACTGATTTGAGGTCTGCATTCATGAAAATTGCAAGGCCAGTTTTGTGTAGGTCATACAGTTCTTCTCAGGTTCAGCCACACTATGCAGTAGTCAAGATTCTTGGGCCAGATCTTGCCACCCAAAAAAAGCAAGGAGAATTCTTGCCAAATTTGATGTCAACAGCTATGCTACTAATGCTAGGGTAATCCCACCAACTTGGACCTCCCTGGTGGGGCCATACCCTCAGTTTTAATTACTTCCCCTCAGGGAACATCCAAGAAGTCTTGCATTAATGGATGAGAAACATTAGTATAGAGCAGGGGTGGGGAAGCTTTTCATGTTGGAAGGCCACATTAATATTCAGCTATAATCAAATAAGACCACATTCAAGAAACTTCAATAAGATATACTTTAAAATGTACATTATGTACTTCATAATTTCAAAAAATGAAAAATATTTGTTAATTTTTAAGTTAACTAACCTTTTAATGACTTTGTTGTATCTCCTTTTTGTTGGAAAGCATTTGAGTATTTGGTTCCAGCATGTGGGTCCCCGGTTTCAGTTGATCCCCTAAAATGGGTGTCAGTCATTTGTGACCTTAAGGGCATCTCAATTTGGGTTAGGTAGCAGAATGTTGATTTGCAGCAATAAGTGATTGAAAAGCAATAAAGTATTTTTCAGGCCTGTTGCTCATGGCGTGGTTATTCTACTGCATTGTTCCATATTTCAAGTGGATCTTTTTAAGCATCAAACAATGACTTTGAAATGTCATCTACTGAGAACTCAATTCCATCTGCAGTTCTTTAGGTGCTTTGGTGATTTCAACTAGGTGAGGCTGAAATGCTAATTTGAGTGTGATGTCATGATTCTCAAAGTCCGTGAACCTTTCATTGTATTCTCCAATTAATAGGTCTATAACAGCTGTTATTCTTCAAATGATTTGCATATATCATCCCCACTCAGCTCATCAATGACCTTTGCTAACTGGGGAAAACGTTCATCTGAAATTTCCTTTTGAAGAAGTGTTTTGAAAAAAGGTAGCTTTTCTCAAAATCCTTGGATTTTTTGCCACATGTCCTATATAGACCTAGTTTTACCTTGCAAAGAAATATTCAAGTCATTTTGATTTGACATGATACCACACAGAAATGCAGCATTCCTATAGAAATCTTCTTTCAATAATTGACATTGCTGATTCTGTTCTTCATAAAATTTAACACTCTGTTCTCACAGAGATAAAATTTTGACTAACACCTGTCCCTGTGATAATCAAATCACTTTAGAATGGTATGGCGAATCCACACTGAATGCCTTAGTATTCAACTTCAGCATGTTACAAAACTGATGATGCCATGTTGCATTTGTGTGAATATAGTTAACACCACTTATAACATGTTGCCAAGTGTCACTTAAAATAGTAGCTTTAGCACAGAAATTTTGCTGATGCAAGATACAATGAAAAGAAATGAGAGCATCTGAATCTGTTAATCCTTTTTTTAATCTGTGCAATAAACCCTTCGTGTTTTCCTGTCATGAAAGGTGCACTGTCTGTACATACACTCACTAAATTTATCAAATTCAGCCCAACTTCATGACATTTATCTTGAAAGTGGTTGAAGATATCTATTCCCCATTCTGTTCACAAGAGTGCCCAAAGTGAGTAACTCTTCATAGCAAAGAAAATCTTCTATTACCCAAATGAAGTACAAAACCAGGACCAAGTCAGTAGAATCAGTAGATTCATCCAGAGTGATTGAATAATATGTTTTCCTTTTGAAGTATTGCATGAAGTTATTCTGTTAAGTTGAAGGCTAATTCATGCTGCTGATTGGTTATGGTTCTCCTTGAAAGAGGCAATTGTTTGTATTTTGAAATGTTATCAGGGTCTAAGCATCCTACAACTTTGACAATGCATTCTTTCACAATTTCTGCATCAATGAATGGCTTCCCTTTTCCCCCCCAAGTATAGAAGCTATTTTATAAGTTGTTTCAATGGTATTTCCAGGTCTTATTGTTGCTTGAAAGAATGGTCTTTGCTTTTGCTTTTCATCTTTTAATTTCTGCAGTACAACCTTTCATGCCTCTCCCTTTAATTTAAAATATGTGTGGTCTTTATGAGGGTTACAATGCTGATAAGCATTGAATTTCCTTAATGCTAATATTGCAGTATCACAAAGCAAGCAAATCATCTCATCTTTAGCAGAAACAAGATAATATTGCAATTCCCAATCCTCATTTTTTAAAAAAAAACTGTTTTCTTCCTTCCGCATTCTCTTGGTCTTTTTGACATGATAGGCTGTTAAGCAGACAGAATTAAAAAATACTATCAAGCTGTGCAACTATTCACAAATTCCGCTTCAAACAGAAACACAATGCACAGTTGTCAAAAGCTCATAACAGACTGGCATACTTGACCCCCATAAACTCTCACCAACAGCCTCATGAGGTAGTGGTGCCAATCAGGTGGGGAAAGTTAGAACTAAATAATGAGTGTAGCAGCTATCAATTTAGCCCTTATGGCTTACTAATGTTGTAATTGTACTGGTCCATCTGGGAGGATTATTTCATTGAAACTTATTTTACTCTTTGGTGTTTTAAAAATTTGTTATTTTGAATATCAAATGTTCATTTTTAAAATAAAAATATGAAGGACAAACAAAAATATATTAATAAAAATAAAAGGATTTGTTCTATAAAATTTGGATTCAGTCAAAAGGCCACACTTAAGGACCTAGAAGGCCATATGTGGTCTTAAGGCTGCAGGTTCCCCATCCCTGGTATAGACCATTAGTTCTAAGCAGAATTATTACATTAAGCCACCCCCTCCATAATACCCTTGCTGGCTATGCAAATAAATCTGAGCACCATAACAAAAGGACTAAATGAAGATAGTAGTGCTATTGGCCTCAATTTCCTTAGTCTAAATTTCTGCCTTTATTATGCATACATGCCTGCAGCAGAGTGCTTGACATTGGGCATTCCTGACAGGAACAGATTTCACTGGCTTCTCTATTTAACTAAAGAAAGGCAATCAAAAGAAGATAAATATCTATTAACTTATCTGTGTATTTCCTCAATTTTATAATCCTACTAATAACAACTCATATTTACATAGTGCCTTGTGGTTTGCCGAGCACTGTTCTCAGAAGAACCCTGTGAAGTATCTTATTTGCCCATTTTACAGATGTGGAAACTAAGGTTTTGAAGTTAGGCACCTTCCTCTGGTCACATAACTAATAGGTATCTGAAGCAGCTTTTGAGCCCGGGCTTCCTGACTCCAAGTCTGCATATTCTGCCATCTTGTTTTCATGAAAGATTGTTTAAAATCTTTATGAGAAAGATCTACACACATTGAAGACATCCTTGATGAAGATATGCATAGGTAATAGGCAAGTTTTCACAAATAGTTTTCTATAGAAGCCCACATCTTCACAATCACCTAGTTGACCTATGAGTAGAGAACCCAAGATCCCACAGTGATTGTTTGTTGATTATAAAAAAGCATTGTCTTAAAGTCTTTACTCCAACTAAGAACCCACAAGATTCCTTGACAGAGGCAAATGCATATAAGTTTATTCAATTATCCTCTAATTATCAACATAAAATGAAGCTTAAAAAGAGTAGTAGGCTTGCCAAAGGCTACACTCTTTGTGTGTTGTGGAGGCTGTCCAGTACAGAATCCAAAAAGAAGTGGGTCTCCCTATAGATGATAAAGTTTCTGTGTGCATATGATCATTGTGCTGATTGCATTGAGTCCTGAAA